TATATATATGAAATTAAATTTCAATTTAGTTATTAAAACAGTTTTAAATTTTTTCCGTTTCAATCATTCTTTAAACTGTACTGTAAGAGCATATTTTGCCAGTTTCAGCAACTGCAGAACTTAGGTCGGATGTAATTAAATTAATGCATTAAATCCAATAGAAAAGCAAACACTAACAGAAACTGAAATATATAGGCATAAGGTCAAACGTAAGCCTATTACCTTTTTAAGAAATTAATGAATGGAGATTGATATAAAACACATATTCAAACAAATATTTTTATTTGCAGATTACTTATATTCAGGATACACCAAGGATAATTACCACTCAGGATATCCCAGTAAGTTGTAACAGATTTACTTTTGACTTATATATATATTCATATATGACATTAAATTAGATGTTATATATACACAGAGTTATTCATAATTCCCTGACACATTACAAAAAATCGCTAGTCTTCAATGGTGCAATAGATGGTAACATAGTACATGCCGATAGAAAGATACTCACCATGTTTACTTCACATACTTCATAAATGCTCAATAACCATTCGCTGCTTCATTGACCACCCCGATCACCTGACCTGACGCCTTGTGATTTCTTCTTACGCGGGTACGTTAAGGACCAGGTCTTTGTACCGCCTCTGACACGGGATCTGCCTCAGCTGCGAAGACGAATCATCGCTGTCATATCACAAATCGATCGTGACATGCTGCAGCGGGTGTGGGCGGAAATGGATTATCGGCTTAACGTCTCCCGCGTCACAAAGGCCGGACACATAAAGCATTTATTAGGTGAAATAAACCTGAAGAATTTCTCTTTCTATTGGCATGTCCTATGTTACCATCCATTGCACCATTTAAGTCCTGCTTTTTTTTTGTAATGTATCAGGGAATTATGAATAACCCTGTATATATTTCAATTCAGTTACTAAAACATTTCTTAATATTATTAGAAATCATTGATAACTTAAACGCTATTATAATGTAAGGGAATTTATTGCAAAAATGTTTTCAACAATTGCATAATCTGTAAAACTGTTAAAGACAAGCTTTAAGATATCACGTAAATACAACAACAGCGCAGTTTCGATACTTGTCTTAAATAAAGACTGCCATTTGAATTTCTGAAATATTTCATGTGTTTAATTTATGTGATATGATTTCTATGAGGGAGAAAAATACCATTACATTTACATTGAATATTATCTTTCCAGGTTATACAATTATTGGTAAGTATTATTATTATCATCATTATCATCTTAACAGCATTTGTTCCTGCCCATTAACCGGGCCAAATATCATCTGAGACTAGTGTTATAATATCTAGGATTTGAGGTTTTCACGGCGGTGAATCTGAAGTAGGCTGTCTTCTGGGCTATTGCATCAGGCTAGTAGAAGTTTACCGCCCTAATGCTAGAGGAAGCAACGACATCTGAAACGTCGTTAAACTTCTACTAGTCTATACGGCGCAACAACCCAGAATACAACCATCTTCAATTTTACAGTAGCTTCTAGAAAATATATTTAAATTTAATAAAGTACTACATTAATATTTACCTCATGATGCGTTTTGTTTCTAGAATAATCTTCTTTTCCATTTATTAGTAGTATTATTATATATTTATTAGTGCTTGTCTCTTATAGGCACTTGCAATTATCAAACTCTCTAATAAATTAATTGAACTGGATTAAATTAAAATAACTGATTTCGAAAAAAACTTATGTAAAAGTGCATAAGTAATAAATCTGACAACAAAAATTCGATCGAATTAAATTTTTCGCAAACCAAGTAAAATATGTAGTTACTATTTTCAATTATTTAGACTTTTTAAATCGTCATTATGCTTTATCAGAAAGCCACTACGTTTCGGGAGATGGATCTTTTTCCGTCATTAGGTGAACCTACACATTCGGGCTCTTTACATGAAGCCAATCTCGATTTGTAGACACTGTGAAATGGGCCAGCTACTCTACATATTCCAGCTGTGCAATGACCTATGAGTGGTCAATATATCAGAGAACTACTAAATTTATATAGATTTTTCAACCAAAGTGAAAGACCAATAAAGTAAATGTAATTGGCTCAAAATAAGGAAATGAAGCCTATTAAAAGTATACTGTGGCCATGTGTTATAAATAGGAACTAAACCAATATAATACCCGAAAGTCAGTACTATCAATATAAAAAATAAACATATCAGACCAAAGTGGAGATACGAGGGTTACTTCAAAAGACGTGGCAACTAATTTTTTTTTTTGGGTCAAACACTTTATATTGAAGAAATTTCAAAATATACTTATGAAAGGGCACGATATACTCCTCCGATTGTCGTAGTCAGATCAGGTGGGTGTGAATGGGTGTAGGTATAGTAGGTAAGAAGAAAGGCACATTACGGAATGGCCTTTTTTCATTCTTTAATCTTCGAAAAATTCAATTGTGATTAAAAAAAAATAAAAAATTCAATGTGAGTTAAATCATAATTCTTACATTAAGACTAGCAACCTTCAAATTAGTCTCCGAGTGTATCAAATACTCGCCGCCAACGACGAGGAAGACGGCGAATACCATCAGCTTCAACATCTCTCAATCTTGCCATCTCGCGCCGAACTGCGTTGGTCAAACTGTGAATGAAACATAATACGAGTCCTTTCTGCAGAATGACTTACGCCGTGCAATTAGGAATAAAAGTCCTGAACTGCTTCACAATGTCATCGTCCTTCACGTCAATGCAACCGCCCACACCGCAATAATGTCAAGAACCTTTAACGACGTCGGAGATGGGAAGTACTACACCACCCTCCATGTTCACCCAACCTTTCGCCATGTGACTATGACTTAATACCCAAATTGAAACATCCATTGCGAGGGAAACGCTTTCGTACACGAGAGGACATTTCCAACGCAGTTCGGCGCGAGATGGTGAAGCTGATGGTATTCGCCGTCTTCCTCGTCGTTAGCGGCGAGTACTTGATACACTAGGAGACTACTTTGAAGGTTGCTAGTCTTAATGTAAGAATTCTGATTTAACTCACATTGAATTTTTTAATTTTTTAATCACAATTGAATTTTTCGAGGATTAAACATGAGAAAAACGGTCATTTCGTAATGTACTATTTTTTTACCTAGCATACCTACATCCAGTCACACCCACTTGATCTGACTACGCCAATCGGAGGAGTATATCATGCCCTTTCATATGTATGTTTTGAACTTTCTTCAATATAAAGTGTTTCTCCCCCTCCCCCGAAATTATTTGCCATGACTTTTGAAGTAACCCTCGTAAAAATTTTATCTTGAGAGACAACGTTGGGAAGAGAAGTGGCGGTTTATGATTAGCTTTTTCTAACGATCCCGAATGTGTAGGTTCAACTGAGAGGAAGAGCCATTACCCGAAACGTAGTGGCTTTTTGAGAAATCATAATAACGATTTAAGAAGTTCAAAAATTTTAAATTACTTTTTTAACCCAATCATTCATAACATTGAAAAATGAAAAGTGCATAGCACTTTTAATGTAAATTGTCTATATTACGTGAAAAGATTAACGTAACCTCTCGGAAGACATTGATAATTTTGCAGTTTTAAATTACTTCCAAAAATAAAAACCATGGCAGAACAATAAAATATTGCTTACTGATATATTCAATAGAAAAAATTTATTTCATAGACTGTTTTGTATATTTTGTTAGTACTGAATACAAAAGTTAAAACTTTGCTTTGACTGAGGTTTGATGTATTATAAATACAGAAAAGATTTAGTATTTCAGTGGAATCAAACTGTTATCTTATTAATAAAAATTAAAGCAGGCTTCGAAGTCAGAGCCAGTGACAAAATTAAGTATTTCTAAAATATCGCGTGCTCCGTAACAACCTTTTCCACAAGAGAAGGTAATAATCAGTTTGGAGTAAATTAGCTAAATAAATATTATAAGCTACACAGCATTCATGTTCCAGACTTCAAAATTTTGTGTTTCTCAAAGTGTGATAGTTTAAACGTAACGTTCACACAAATATTTTGTTTACCTGAAAGGTATCAAAGAAAAATAATGACAAATAATTCGGGTGCCCTTTACAAATATATATTATGAAGTAATCTGTTTACAAGAATATTTTTCTTGTAGTTATTGGACTATGTATATTATATTAAAATATTGTATTTTGAATTATTCATGTGCAATCTTTTGCAGGAAGCGGGTACAGATATGTACCAATTTTTTGAAATCACTTCATGGATTCAGCCAGCAGCTGGACATATTCTACAGTTTTGAATTCGTTCCTAGGAAGAGCAGCATTTATTGTATAATTGCGTGTATTGTTTATACTCTCACATTTATTTCAATGCACCTGTAAGCAAAAATAAATTAGTTCCCAAGCTGCATAAATTTGTTTATTAAAACTGGAAATTCCTCTGTGTTGGGGTAGAAATGTGGTTTTGGAATTTATTAGGGAAGAAAATAACACGAATCTCGGCCGAATTACCAACTGGCCTGCGTGAAACGCTTCATGAATTTACTCTATCGCACCAGGTGAATTTCCAGATATGCCTCAAATAGAACAGTCACCGTTTTTTAAATCATTTTTTCATTCTCCCATCACATTCGACGATGTAGGCTTATATCATCTGCATTTGAAAGTGTGTTTAAATAACCCAAAAATAAATCGTTCTTTTAGACGTGAATATCTACTTAATCAATTCTGGAATATTCGTCCACATTTAATACAAACACCAGTATTACTTCTCATATTACGATCATCTATTCTCACTCATAATTTTGCTGAAAGAGCTATTAACATCTCAATTTCACACAAGAAAGCATATAATATGAAGGCAACGGTCTTCTGGGATATAGCATCCTGTGATCTCGTAGAGCGTGCACACTGCCTCCATCATTTGTTTTGATGATAAAGGCGGTACGC